GGCCTTTGCAGAGCTTGGTGTCTCTGCTTCTACACTGCCCACTGTGATGGACATCTTCCTTTTTGGTGCCAGTGAGATCTACTTTGAAGCCTGCCTTTTGCAGATGTTCTCCATACATTCATTTTCCATCATGGAGTCTGGAGTTCTGCTGGCCATGTCTGTGGACCACTTTGTGGCCATCTACAACCCACTGCGGTACACGGCCATCCTGACTCTTCCCTGTATTGCTGGTACTGGAGCTGCAGTTGGACTGAAGAGTGTGATGTTCATGTTCCCACTGCCCTTTCTCCTGAAGCATCTTCCCTTCTGTGGACACAACGTCCTCCCCCACTCCTTTTGTTTTCACTCAGATCTAATCCAGCTGCCCTGTGGGGACACTCGTCCCAACAGCATTCTGGGGCTCTGCATTGTTACTTCTACTTTTGGGCTGGACTCGCTGCTCATCATCATCTCTTATGTGCTGATCCTCTACACAGTGCTGGGCATTACCTCTGGGGAGGGACGGCAGAAGGCCCTCAACACATGTGTATCACATATCTGTGCAGTCCTTGTGTTCTATGTGCCCGTGATTAGCATGGCTCTGGTGCACCGCTTCATGAAGCATGCTGCACCAGCTCTCCGTCTACTCCTAGCCAATGTCTATCTTCTGGTGCCTCCTGTGCTCAATCCCATCATCTACATTGTTAAGACTAAGCAGATTCCCCAGGAAATAATCCAACTCTTTCCTCAAAGTAAATGTTAAGGGGATTAGGGCCTATGAAGTGGTTACCCTCAAGCCAGTCAGTTTCATCACCAAAGGTGGTCTGGGAGGGAGGGAATGCTCATCACCTGGTCAAAATTAGAATGCTCAATGATGCTGCATGTTACTGAATGTATGGAGAACACACATTTTCATGTACTATACGTTGTAATCTGTATTACTATAGTATAATATTTTGTCTGCTATTTTGTTGTTTGTGTCAACTTAAAATGAACATGCTCTTTAACCCAGAAACTCCAATTCTTAGCACATCCCTAGATTTATACTCACATGTTTGTTCATGGTCACTTGAATAAGAAGTGAATAAGAGAGTTGAATTTGAATAAGAATTTTCACTTCTTGACATAAGATTAAAAAAAATCCACTAACTGGCCACAGTAGGTAAACAGTTGATCCAGATTGATAGGTTTACAAGACTAAAGCAAGAAATAGCAGAAAAAAAATATATACATATCACTTTTTGTAAAACAATTTAAACACATAAATATATCAATTTGTTTATGTGTGCAAAAACACACTAAATTGGTAACAAAAATGACTCTTTTGGAGAAGTCCGTGACAGTGAAGAGAGGAACAAAAGGAATTCTCATTTTATATGTATTGTTTAAAAAATTTCAAATATAATACATTCAACACTTGATTCTATTATAAAAAACATATATAAAGTTAGACCTATATTTATATTTATATTTATAGTGAAAACCAGTTCAATACTTGTGACAATTAGAAGCAAACAAAGTACTAAGAGCAAAGCCCTATAACTGAGAAACTACATTGATGATAAGCCCAGAGGGAAGAGTTTTGTTAATCAGGATTCTGTAAGGTTCTTGAGGAATGCTGACTTTGAGGAATAACAGCAATTCCTCCCATAAAGACCTTATTGGAAGAATTTATTGTTCATATACAGTGAGATGATGAAGTGGAAAGCAGAGAGGATAAGTTTGCTAATGCTAGATATCCTCAGTCAGCTGGTAAATTTGAAATGTGAGGTTTCAGAAGTTGTGCTGAGTTGAAATCATTGCAGACTGAATGTTACTAGGGTGACATGAGAGGGGCAAATTTATTGAGAGCCTTGTTTTCCTTGGATTTACATTGTCTCTATTTACATTGTCCCTTTCTCCTTGATAGTCGCTGTAACCTTCAGTGACTATCAAGACTAGTTGTCCCCTGGCCCCCTCTATTCCACTATGCATTCTATTAGCACTTTTTTGCTTCTTGTCATTTCTGTCATACCACACATAACAATTGTAATCGAGTAATTGTCTGTGTATGTTTTATTTTTTTATTTTCTCTCTAGCTCAGTCCTTTTTAAGTTCTAGAAGGCATGGACTGTGTCTCTTTTGTTTACTACATACACTCAGTGACTCCTATACAGTCTAGCATAATCTAGCTACTTAATAAATATTTGGTGAGTGAATAAATGAATTATTGAATGAATTAATACAGGTATACACATAATTCCTTGCCCTTATGTTTATTTCACCCCATTTCTTCTGTATTAACCCAATTTGATGACACTGTGTATATCATTTACTTTTTCTCTCCCCTTTGTTTCTATATTGACTGCATTTTTTTCCCTGTCTGACTTTTTTCAGGTTCTCATTCTAAAGCCAAAAGAATATGCTCTTGGCAAATACTAAGCCCTTCAACTTCTCAGTAAAACATTAATGGTGTTAATACAAAACACATGCTCAGCCCCATACATGTGCTGAAGTTAAACATTCCCAGCGACATTTGGAGACCCTTGGGAAAACATACGCATGTTTTAATCTTAACCCTATATGGAAAATCTATGGTAATATTTTAGATATAGTATGTGAAATATGAGACTACATTTGGGAAAGAAGTTTGGAAATAAGAAGGGGATATGTGAGGGTATTACCAAAGTTATAAATCTTTTGATATATTTTATGAATCTTCACAGCCCTATAAGCTGGATTTTTCACATTATACAAAGGATGATAGATCATGAAAATAGAGTTGAATTCACTTATATATCTATGATTTAAAATTCCTCATGCTTAAACGCCTTGAGAATCTGCTTCAAAATGCAGTGAAGACTAACACGGAGTGAAGTTTTGAAAATGGGTTTCTTTTTTCTTATTTTTTTTTTAATTATTTTTTTAGAAGCTTTCATACACATAGTTTCTTTATTTTTCTCGTGGGAGTATCTCCATGTTGCTCACAATTCTACTTTTTTCCTTCATAAACATATCCATTCTGCCTAGTCATCATTCTTGCTGTTGCATCTCTGCCACACCCAATAGTACCTCTCTTTGGGGAAGAGACTGAATCTGATGACTGCTACCACTGTGGCTCGTTTCTCGCTTTCTCAAGCATACTGGTATTCAGTTTAGCATTTCGTGGTGTATATATGTTCCTCCCTAGCACAGAATAGGGAGCTTCAGAGAGAGCCGTAGGAGAAAAAACTATGCCCGTCTTTCCCTTCCACAATCTACAGGCTTCCTGTGCCACACTCTACTCTGAAGATGTAGTTTTGATTAGCGGCTCATAACTCAATGATCATTATATACCTCTAATTTGTTTCAAATATTCATTCGTACACTTGTCTTGCAAGATGATCTTACCCCAATAAATTTGTGGAGATCTCACCTGAACCATTCATCCAGGTATTGGAAGAGCACGTTATGGATCTACAGACACTTCTGTCTGATGTACACCATAATTTTCTTCACCTCACTTAGACTGAACATGCCGTATATAAATTCACATTCCTCATCCTGAATATTTTGCCACTCAGTGCGATCAAGATACTTTTCCCAACTTACTTCTTACCTTGCCAGATAATTTCCTCTGTAGCATACTAGGATCAGTGCTGATATACATTTCTTCTAGGGGTTCTCTAGATACTCTTTGACTCCCAGGGCTTAGTTATTCTGATGGTTATTTCAGTGGATCACTTTTTGGCATTCCTTAACCCACTCTTCTGCTCAATTATGCCAACATTTCCCTGCATTATTGAATGGATATTGTCTTTGAGACTCAGGTATTTGATGTTCCTGTTCCTACTTACCTTTATGGAAGATATCCATATGAACTTTTCCATTGGCACCTGTTATCTACTGTTTGTAGTCACCTCTACCTACAGGCTGGACTCATTGCTCATGGTGATCCCTACATATTGATTTTTTGCACAATACTAGACATTTTGTCTGTGACAATTGGGCAGAAGACTCTCATCATGTCTATGTACTCTTGTATTTAATGTCAATGATCATTTTCTTCCAGTTGTACTACTTTTGACAATCTGTGCAGCGTCTCTACTCCTGTAGAATGCCACTGTTGATGCATTTTTCTCTTTCTCCATCTGCAATCCACCCCAATACCTAGAGCATCAAAATTCAAGAGAAATGCAATAGCATTTTGCTTTTAGTACTGAAAAAGGGCTAGGGGTTATCAGACTAGAGAGGACCTTTGGGTTTTGCATTCCTGGATCATTTCGGACTGTAGCGATGCCTATTTGGTATTCATACTCCTGCATGGCTTTTGTCACCACTGCTGATTTATGAGCTATCGTGAATGAAGGAGGAGTAAGAGGAAAATGTTCTCTTTCACATGAAAAAAATGAAGGCCCTATAGCAAAAGAGAAAGTAGAATGGAATAGAAATAGAGCTAGTTTTTCCTGGGTAGAGAAAACAACAGTATCATTAACATAAAATACCTCAAAAAGAAATCAAGCATCCCTGAAGAAGGGATGGCATGGTCCCAAGAGGTTTTGGGACATATAGATTTACTTAATGGGATTTCCTGGGACGACATAAGTTCATATCTAATACCCTGAGGCCAATCTCTTTCTCTTTTAAATATTCTACCCCACCCCACAAACTAGGTGATACCAAAATGCTAATATAGATTAATGGTCAACAAAAAGAGATATAGATTACTTTTTACTGCATCAAGCTATATTTAGATTTTGTTTCTAATCAAAGTGACTTTTCTTTTAATACCATCCATCTACTGATTAAATAAAGAACCAGGTCACTTCAAAATTCTAATCTAAATCTGATACATATAATATAATATACTTTAAGCTTTCTATATTCTTGGAGTTGCTTGGACTCATTACATATCCATATTCAACATTTATTAAAATGTTTTTTATTACTCACCTTAAAGACTGAGAAATAGGTAAAAAAAGTTTCGTAATTGTGCAAGAAAAATTTTCTGTATGATATTAAAATTTTCTCTTCTTGGAAAATAGAAGATGAGCAAGCTGTTATACTAAGTTTTATATGATATTAAAATTTTCTCTTCTTGGAAAATAGAAGATGAGCAAACTGTCATACCAAGTATATTTGGGTTATATGTAGAGAACCTTTTTATTGCGATGGCAAAACAAGAGGAATGTCTTCCAATATTGATGAAACCTATTATTAAAATAGGTTTTAATTTAGACATCAGAAAGAGTCTAGCATAGTTTTTGTCTTTGAATCATGGCTGGTTTCCAAAGTGGTCATGAGTGAGAATATGAATTGAGCCTATTTACTCAACATCCAACAAGCCAATGGATTTTAAACAAGCATTGCATACTTGATCATTTTCTCAGTCCAAGACATGTCTATACTACCAGTTAGACTGAAAACCAAGGGCATTTTCTCTGTTCCAAAGACACATTTACTAGGTATCAGGATGTATTACATTAAGTGCTTGCTAAGAATCAGGGGTGATTTCCCTCTAGGCTATACCTAATGTGTAATTTAACTTTTAATAAATAGAAAGTTGTGTACATCAGGAGCCCTAAACAACATTTAAATGGTTGTTTTTGTCCTATCTCTTAATTCTCTACTTAATGTCCTAGTAAACAAAATTGCACATTCACGTTATTTCCAGTCCTCTACTTAAAAAAATTCCTCCTCTGTAAATTCAATCAGATCTACATCCTTCAATTTTTAGAAACAAGCACAGAGAGTTTGGCACACATCTGAGTATTTACATTAAAGGGGAGGGAAATGAGCTATTCT